ATCTTAAACTATAAAATTTAATTCAGTAGGTAATACATGTTTGATACTTAAATTGCATTATTGTTTATTCAACTCTCGTTACAATATTGGGTCTGGTTAGAATAAAGAGCCAGACAATCAAATCAAGAGTTCAGCAGTTCAATAAACTGCTTGTATTATATTTGGTCTAAAGGCGATAACGTTATATAATTTTCTCGATTTACTTTTACTTCAAAATTACTGAATTAACGAAAATTTTATCTATAAAAAAAAAAATAAAACCCGATATAAAAAAATTACATAAACTGATAATTTCTAAATAAATCAACTGTTATCGGGAGTTGAATAAAAATAAGAAATTGCAGTTTTGTTACACGTTATCCGTTAGTCGAACCCTATTTTGTGACGATGTCTCTTCTTTTAGTTCACTTTTTACTTTAAAAGCCAATAATATAAAAAAAAATTTTCACTGTTGTAATTTTTCATATATTCAACAGTTTAGGTAAAAAAAAAATAACTTGACGTTTTAACGCAAAAAAGGACCCAAATTGCAAAATTATACAAGAAACTCTCCTTTTAAATAGTTATTAGAACACCCTGTTAAAATATTGGAAAATCATTACGGAACACCCTATATATTATAAACTAAAGAGTGATCCACAAAAATAGGCCATGACTGACAAAGATAGAGGTACGAGACATGTCCGTGATAACTACTCTCGGTTCTGAATTAAATCCAAATTGACAGTTAAAAAGAAGAGTAATAATTGTAGGCGTCGATGAATTTTTCTACAATCCTAAAAATATTTAAAATAATACCTTGATAATTAAGTTAATTTTATTTCGAAATGAACAATAAGCTCAAAAAGATAACAAAATATCTACGTAAAGTGCTTTCACATGACATTTGTTTTGTTTTAAATTTCGTAACTACAAAAATAAAAAACAGTGATTGACAACATGCGTTGAACTCTAAAAAAATGACTAGACAAAAAATATCACGGGATTTGTATACGTAAAGTGTTTTATTTGTTCTGAAAATATTTTAAATGTAAAATACCGACGTTTAAAAATAAATTCAAATATTTCAATGATACAACAAAAATGTTAACTCGAGTGTTGTGTTTTTGAATCATTTCCAATGTTTAGATAATCAGTTTTTTCTGTTGAAATAACGATCAACGCGTTAAGCTTTTTTCTTCATGGATGTGTTTGGGCTAGGCAAGGGTAAAAATACTAGAAGACCCCGAACTTAACTACAAGGTCAAGGGGAAAAGTAGTCATGAAGAAGTCCCGTTTCTTTGTTATTTCTTTAAGCCTCCAAAAGAAGTGTTCGATGGAAATAAAAAAAATACCATTTGACAAATGAAAGCTAACAAAATTTCCTATAAAAAATATTTCTATTCATTTTATAGTTTTTAAGATATCCCTAGCGAAAACAACACATTTTTTATAAACATTACCCTGTAGCGCCGCAACCTCACGTGAAGTGAAAAAACATTTTTCACACATTTGAAGTTTTCCTAGAAGTATCTTAAAAACCTCCCGGATGCATATTTGTAAACAGCACCCTTACTTTTACTTTAAAAGTTTCTTTATTTACATTAAATATGTACAATTTATTAGGTATGATATAAACAATAGAAAATGTATTCCACACTCGCGCACTACGAGCACATACTTATAATAGGTATACGGAGCAAGAGAGACGTCCGACCTGTTTAACATAGGGGCGGCCATTTTTATACAAGATTACTAGTACATAGGTGACCAGAAATACAGCAATATGAAAACTTGGTTGCAGATGTCTAGGTCTTTTCACTTTTAAATACATCATTTTGTACAGATTTTTTAAAAGAAATAATACAATATTATATCTGAATTAAATTTTTATTCTACAACAAAAAAAATATTTTAATGTTTAAAAATATATGTTAGGCTGATAAATAATAGGCCGACAAATAATAGATTAAATACCTAAATACTAATTTTAAATGACAAAAGTACAGTAGAGGAAGTTAAAAATATTAAAATTTCCAGGATACTTTAAAATTAAATTGATGGTTGCATATTTGTGTTATTTTAAACAATTTACTTTCTTCTTGTATAATTTCTAAAAGCTACAAATTTTTAGTGAACGGGTCGTCCTTATTGATTGTGCAGTGAATTGTACTAACAACTTAAAAGAAATTTTGTCCAATCTCTATATGGCAGATAACCTCAATAAGAAACGATCTGCTTGTTTTGGAACCCTAAAATAGTATAAAGTCACTTCTTTCATATGCTTTATTTTTGCTAAATCTTATTACTTACTTGTGGAATGTAACATTTGAATCTATTGGCAACAGTCTTCTTATGTTCTTGCAAGATCTTACAAGACATCTTGAATAAAGCCCAGTATAGAAAACTTATACTGGGATTAAAGTCTATTCACAAATGTTAAAATAAATAAAACGTTTATACACTTAGAAAATAATATCCACAATCAAAATATTCTAAAATACCACAAAAAAATTTAACCAAATTCACAAACACATTAAAATTTGACACTTTTGACAGATGGAAAGATAAATTGGTTGCATAAGTTTCAGTTTGTTTATATAAAAATGGCGGTCATTTCTATCTTCTTTTATTAAACACTCAGTAAAGATGCGCAGAGGGTTTTACGCCGTATACCTATTTAAGTATGTGACTACGAGCCGGAAAACTTTCCGATGCCCGGCTACCTAACTATGTGAGACAAGGGCGGCTGCAAGACGAATTTTCGGAGGGGGCCATTGCCTTTAGCCATTCCCTTTTTAGCATATTTTTTTGAATAAAATGCCCATAAATCGTAAGAATTTTTGTAATTTACGTTAATAAATACATTTTCTACTGTGAATCCTTAAGTATTTCGATCCGATTAAATATATAGTTCTAAAATATATTATTATATATTATATAAACAAGGTAAAAAAAGGTCTGCAAGAATGTGTTCTGACTAGACCAGACATAACCCGTTTGAGTTATAAAAACATAAATATAACAGAAATAAGAAAAGAGAAATAAAAATCTGATGTATCCAACACATGACTTTCCTGTCTAGTTATTATATGATTTTTCCGGTTAGTTTGTACGACCTATTGTATCATCACCCCCTGTACATTTCTCGAGAATTAACTAAATATATACAATTTCCACACACATCTCACTTGGAACATTTTTTATATATATTCATTACCTACGAAAATACTGAAAAATTTAAATTTTACACTGTTCCTCAAATTTTTACAGTATGGTTCATTTTAGAGAACTCATATATAAAACAAAAATAATGATATGTATACTTGATTAAATTTGTCTTTATTGTAATAGATTTTAAAAAAACCCCCAAAAATTTTATTTTTCACATTTTGGCTAGATAACTTACTTTAGACGATAATCGACCGTTTCCATACATATCAGCGAACCCGTATACATGTATATTTTAAAGTAGTATACGTGAGAAAAATAAAAGATCCATAAAATTCGGTAGATGAGACCGAAAAACGAAAAAAAAATCGAAAATCAGTGAATTGGTTAAGATTTTAATAGACAATGTCTAGGCTGGAGGATGGAGAGAAGGCGGATATTTTTGTAGCCATATTTCGTGTAAAAATTCCATATTTCCAACCTCAGAGTGCGAACAACGTCGCCCAATCTGACTTCTAGAACACCTGAATTGATGGCTACACAACCTTTGTCCCCTCCTTGTTTTCAGCCAGCTAGCAACGTCAGCAAACATGTCACCGGAAATGAAAAATACAGATCCCGGCATAAGTCAGTTAACGGGTTAACTAAATTTCTTTCTTTCTCTTTATCCGTTTTTATTAGAAATTTAAACTTTTCTCAAATATCTCGAATACGGTCCATTTTAAAGAACAACTCATGCATAGGGTATAGGACAAGAATTATAGAGAATGTCATCACGAAAAACTTTTAAGGGAACCCAAAAACGTAAAAATTCGTAGAAAACTCGAGGTCGAAAAAATCATGATTCCTATACTTTCCTTATCTGTATACAGATAGGAAAGTAAAAAATGAACTAACGAGGACAGACAGAAATAATTAAAAAAATGTAGACAAAATATATTAATCAAACAGATGCATGAAGTATTTATTGGATGAATAATACTAGTGAACAAATACATTTAATATGACTGTGATTATATTACTCAGAGAAGTTTTTAAATGAAACATTTATAACAATGATTAGCGATATCGTTTGGAGACAACAATATGTACAGGTATTTTATTCATTGTGATAGATATATGAAATATTTTTTAAGACCGACCAGAAAGTATACAATTTCTGAACAATTTTTTCGCCCAAAAAAAATAACGTTTTACCGATCAAGACCAGAAAGCAGACGTTAGGGACCGGTAAAAGCTTTTACCGATCCCTGTTTTTCATTTTTCCGATCGCTGTTTGATAATACAATCGGTCTGCCTTGATTTCGTTACCATGGTAACAAAGTTCCGATTTATTGCCAATAAGTGACAGTTCGTTGATTTTTAATTTGTCATTTAGGTCAAACTTGTTTTCGCAAATTTAAAAATATGGATTCAGATTTTGAATTATTGACAAGTTTGACATGAACAGCAAATTAAAAATAAACAATTGTCACTTGGCAATAAATCGGAACGTTGTTACTATAGTAACGAAATCAAGGCAGCTTGTATTATCAAACAGCGATCGGAAAAATTAGTAAACAGGGACGGTAAAGCTTTTACCGGTCCCTAACGTCTACTTTCCAATCTTGAAGGGCAAAACGTTACTTTCTGGACGAAATTTTTTTCAGGAAGTGTATATGCATTTTACGCTGTACAAATAAGTACTTTTAAACCTATGGTTTTGCTCGTTTAAATAATTTGAATTGTCTCATAATACAACTTTTGCAGTAAAGTACATTTTTAAAGGTTTACAAGCAAGATATTAATTTTAAAATAAGCAACAATAAATTATTTGGTTCATTATAATTTCATTAATAACATATTCTTACCTCTGTCGAATAAAACTCCTCGGCACCTTTGGCAGCTGTTACCATATGAATAATTTGGTTGTATCTATTGTCCCTTAATTCTACATTATTCCAAGAGTTTTCCCGCATTATACTTTCCCACTTATCTTTGGCTACAACTGCAAAACAAAAATTACAATTAATCAATTAACAAAATCCTAGAACAAATATACAAGAAGAAGTCTCGTGCAAATTAATGTATGCAGAGCATAATAATAACAACAACTTAATTAGATGATAGAGATAATAGTCCAAGAGTTGAAACACGAGGCTAAAAATTTGTAGATTTATAATTTATTACCAGTTGAATGAGAAGATAATGACCTAACTGGGATACCGCGGTTAAGACACTATATTTTTTGAATATGTAAAAAAAAAATGTTAAAATTAAGGTTTCTATAAGGCTAAAACTTTCAGGAAATATTATTTGAATTATTCTATTTACATAATTTCAAGTACCAGGCGATATTGACGGTTGTTAGTGCCCGAGAAGCAAGTATACAGGGTGGAGCATTTAAAAGTTCCGCCTCCTCGTAACTTCGTTATTAATTGAGATATCCAAATAATTCAATTACTCTGTAACGTATGGCGTACAACCAGTTTTTCATAAAATAACTATAAATCGCAATTTATTTTTTATTGTTTATTTTAATGACTTCTATAAACAGTTAAAAAGTATCAACTTAGGATTTACCCTGTATAATGGGACGAGTTTGTTTTAAAGTTTGAGAATGCAGAGTTTTTCTTCTCCGAAAAAAAAGATGAAGATATATTAGAAAGAAAACGTAGCTTGTAAACTACAGTGGTGCCAAAGAATTTTCTACACGAATTACTCTTCGAAAAAAAAAAAAAAAATTGTTTTAGTACTTATATGTCGATAATTATTTATGATTTAAACATTTAATTATTTACGAAAATACTGTTGGATGATTTAAAATATTAGGATGTTAATTTAATATTTTAGATTAATTAGCCTACATTTTGTTTTAAAATATCGATTAGCGTTCTTTTATTTAATTCAAATGAGAACAGACAAGCTTGAGCCAAAGCTACTTTGGCGCACGTTGCACCAATAATGTCAAATTATGACAATTCGCGAAAGTTGAGGGACCGTGCGTCATGACTTTAACGCTAACTGGTGACAAAAATGTGAACTTTATGGGGGGTATTTATTAATGTTTTATACGGCATTTATTGTTTAATAATTATTAATAAAATGAAGTCGAATTATTTTCGTAATATCAATATCGAAAAAACTTGTTGCATCCGTGGATGTACAAACACATCACTTTGGAAACCTGGATTTCATTCGATAGTAAAGAAATTTTATAAATTTTCACAGAGCACAATTATGCCTCACACCCAATGATATACATAATTACAAAGATTGCTTATCCATATGTAAATCAGACGACGAAAAGCGTATTTCACTAGGCAAAGTTTTTTTTTTATCTAGCTTGTATCAATTTTGAGCACTTAGTTGTAAAGAAATCATTTACAGAACCGGTTTAGAAATTAGAATCTTTAGTGTTTTCTTGTCATTAAGATTTTTACATATTTAAATGAACATTTTATATAAATATCATTTTACAGATAATGGTTTATTCTGTTGATTAAAACTAATGTAGAATATGAAATAAGAATGTCCAATTTGACAAAAATATCACGGCCCTCTTTACAATTTATTAACTATTTCTCATTTATTATTAAAATAAACATCATAAATAATACATTGCAATTACTGTCAAAAGAGATTGTAACAAACTTTAAAATATTAAAAATCCAGTGATTTTTGTAAATTTTTTTAGTGACATTACCATTAAACATTATTCAGAATAATAGATAAGTGTCCAATTACAACTCTTCCCAAAGTTGTTTATACCTCATATCAAAATTGTTTACATTACCTTTTCAAAATTGTATTACATATTGCAATTATGTATTTTATGCAGAATTGTTTCTGAAATAGTAGTCTAAAATTATTTATATCTATCTGTTATAAAAATTGTTTAGATCTCTTAATATTATTTAACTACATGAAAACTCAACTTTCCAAATACATAATGACATGTCTTGAAGTAAAACTTTAATTATTTTCTTTTTCTAAAGATTAAAATGCTGAAATTTTATTTTAAAACACATTTGGGCTAGAACGGCTCTATTTAGTGAGCACTAGGAAAGGCACATTGCAACCCGCTTTTCATAATTTTTTTATAGATGGGTGAGCAATCTATAATATGTATCATTGAACATCTCATAAACGTCAGTGGATGAATGACATTTCGATTAACATAAAGCTAAAAAGATTTATAATTATTATTATCAATCTTGTTTATTAATTTACATTATTTAAATGTTATTGTAATACTTTTAAATTCAGTGTTACTAAATACCTATATTTTAACATTGGATACACTTGTTTAAGGTACAACTTTACAATTTATTGTCACTTAGCCATTTAAATCTTTTTGCTTAAAATGTATATGCATGTCCAGATTTTAATAATGTTTCACATTTTACGTCATTTTGACCATGTACACGATTGTTTGGTATGGGCCGGTATCTATTTTTAACTATATTTAATATTTAAAAAAATACCCTTTATTATTTACTTGCAATGTTTACCCCATTTAATTCTAAAATTAAACACTAGAGAGGGCTAAGTTCGGCAGTAGTGCTGCCTCTATATTTCACGCACGGTCCCTATATATAGTTAGATTTGAATCCAAAGCAGGCTTTTGCACAGTTGACGTTTTTTTCGAATTGTCATAATTTGACATTATTGGCACACGCTTGTCTAAAGAAAACTAATCGGTATTTGAAAACAAAATATTTTAATTAATTTTCTAATATTTTAAATCATCCAACAGTATTTTCCGTAAATAATTACAGACATAAGTATATACTAAAACATTTTTTCTCTTCGAAGAGTAGGCTTATGTCAAATAAACTTACAATATTATAACGAAAGAAGGTAACCCATTTCTAATAAAATTAAATTATTTATTTTATTTTGGTGTGATCGTAGAAAAAATCTTTGAGAGAAAGTTCTTGGCAGTTTTGAAAGATTGCGTCGAGCGAAAACTTTCTGTCAACTGCCAAAGTCCTACTTTCTGCTCTTAATACATATATAGCTATTTCGATTTTAGTTTAGGTTTTTTTGAACGAGTTTGAGAATGTTTTTATTTGTGTAAAATTGTTTAATTTTTCGTTTGTAACTAAGATTTCATAAAATATTTGCAGTTTAGATTAAAAAAATACATTTTAACATGATTTAAAATGCTGTCCCATAGTATACCATACCTTGTCCCAGTAAGTACCACTGGGTGGTTTTTATTGGAATAGGGGTGTATACTGGGACATCTAACTGTTTTTTTACACTTTTAATATTTTGTTATTAAAAAACCATGGCCTAAAGAAAAATGTCCCAATATACAGGGTGTTTCAAAAAGGTATGTCATAAATTCTTCCACAGATAGATTACCAAACAATAAGTGGATTTGGCAATATTTACCTATATCAAAAACTGGCTCCTAACAAAGTTACAGTGCGTTAAACTAACATTAAAAAAAACGAATTTTTCTTTGAAATTTTTACCAGTGCTATAGATTTGAAGGCCCAATATTCCAAGGAAAAAAAAAATTAAAGCGAACCCTTTGAAAAAAGTTGGAGGGTTGGGTACCTTTTAACCCCCCCGTATTTATTTTGTCACAAAGAAACTTGCTTTATCGATCTAAAAATCAAAAAGAATAAGACTTTTTTATTTTTTTTTTTATAGCAAAATGAACTTTGTGTCTTTCTTAGTTAACGAGCTATTTAAAATTTTTTAACTGAATTTTTAGAGCAACTAAAAGTAGGTCAAGAGTTATTGTACGCAAAAAACGCATATAAAAATCAGTGGTGTGTCTAGGGATGTGCTTGAGCCGCCCCTGCAAAAAATACCACTTTTATTTATATTTTTGTAAAAAGGGTATTTGCATTGGCACCATAAAAATGGTGTGCCACCCTTGGTTCACTTGCCACTGATAAAAATACACGTCAGTTCTGAAATGTATTTATTAAATTTAATAGTAATTAAAAAAATATTTTTTAATTACTATTAAAAATTAACAATTATAAATAAACACTTGACAATAATTATTATACATATTTAATTTAGTAAATGTTTAACATATCCTCCTCCTTCTTAAATAAAAGAGGTTGTTAAAATATGAACTAGGTTTAACAGACTAGCTGTCACAGTAGCTGGTTGTTCTACATTTTCTGTTGACCAATTATTATGATTTCCGTAGATTTCCGTCATATTGTAATTAACTTATACAATGGACTGTCCTGCAACAGGTTAAATAAATCAATTCTGCGAATACTTGCGAATCACAATACAAAATAAATGTCACCTATATATAACGACTCCTCTTCCTTTTTAATATTCTTCTATAACACAAAATGCGTATTTATATAATGTATATTTATTGATTTAGCACAAAATTATATTATAGATTTTCATTGACTTTCGCAGTTTGAAGAATTTTAAGTATGAAAAACATTATTCGTTTTCTGTGGAGAGCGGAGCGTAGAAAGGGGATTTTTAAATGGAGTCCAAATTAAAAAAAAAGTTTTTTTTTTTAGTGAGTATATTAAGAAAAATTATCTTGATTTTCTTAAAATATATTAAACTCATTGGTGTACCTTAAAGTTTATACAGGACAATTCAAAATTTTAAATATCATAATTAAAAAAAAATTTGAGGATGTTCGGGCTAAATGGACCTCACATTCGGATTCAGCGCATCGAAATACATAACCCTAGATGGGTCTAGTCAAATGTGTGCCAGTGAGATCAATGGCAAAGATTTTTTAATTTTCGCTAAGAATTTCGAAATTTTAACCACGTGCGTCGCCAAGAGGTGTCCTTCTCATATTGGCTGGTGTTAGCTAATTCTCGACGAACAAAAACCTTCTAATAAATGAGAGCGTCGGGCAATCGTAGAGGATATGCTCGAACGTCTTCTTGTTCGCACCCCTTGCAGAGTGCGGAATCTGACAGCCTCATGATATGGAAATGCTTCCATACTTGACAAAGACAAGTCAGAATGCCTGTGGTTCTGTCTAGTCATAGT